TAGAATATATATTCTATATCTGTATTTTTCGAACGGAGTTATAAAGCAAGAAAGCGCAGCGGTAGTGCCCCGGTCTCGCAGGCAAGAGGTGATGGGAACGGTTTTTCGAGAAGCCTGCTTTTTTGTTTTTCAGTACCAGTGTGGCAAGAAAGGTCCTAAATTCGTTAATTTATCAATTGTCATGAGCGTGTATGAAGATTTTGCGAGCAGTTTCCACAACCTCTTGACCTGCGAGACAGGGCACAACCCGCTGCGCTTTCTTGCTTTATAACTCCGTTCGAAAAATACAGATATAGAATATATATTCTAAATATACATATCTATAGTACAGATAAGAAAAAGCATATCGGGAAGAGAGTGTTGAGCTCAGCGTACGAAGGCGAGTGCAAGGTAAAAAGCTCATTGCAAATGGCCGGACCGGCCTCATGACCTTCCCTGGTAAGCTGCTATCTACAGTAGTACATGGGCAAAGCTAGCCTTTGAACCGTATTCAGGTGCGTTCGCAAAGAGAATGTAGCACAATACTACACGGCACAAAGTAATCAATAACATCAAAAATCAAGGGACGTTGGTTTTCGAAGTCATCTTTGCATGGATCGCTGCTATTGCGCAGAATCAGAAGCCCTCGTAGCGAATACTTAGGACAAAAAAATCAACATTAGGTATAATTTTAGGTTCTATCGATTATCTTGTGCCGTATAGTATGGCGCTAAGCCTGTATTGCGGAAGTACCTGGCTGTCGGCTAACAAGGATAATTCCTTCAACATCGACTGGTCTCTCAGGTAATCCTCTGAGAAGAAAACCTTCTGGAAGGCCCCTTGGATGGATGTGAAACTCTTGGCACGTTCGAGAATGTCAATCAATTATTTTTTCCAATCACTAATGATTATTTCATTGTTGTCATGATTATTATTTTTATACCCAGCGAAAGGTGCAAAGTTACAGTAAGACGGGATGATCATTAGTAACATACTATACGCTACCTACCCTGTAAGCAAAATTATCGTCATCGAAGAACAGTTCCGCCTCCGATTTTACCTTTTCCAAAACACGAGGCCAAATTGGTCTGAAATGTTGGCATTTGTGAATATTGAATTGCTGATGACTTGTGTATAATGACTTGATTAATATTTGTATATTTATTTTTTTCGGGCGGTGGTGACAGCAAGTGGCACGCTTACCACGCGAGCGGTCCGGGGATCAAATCCTGGGTCGTGAGTCGCCCGGGCCAACCAAGCCTTCCATCCCTCCGGGGTCGGTTAATTGGTACCAGACTTGTCTGGGAGGATAAAAACACTGACTTGTACATCGGCTGGCCCCCGCAAGTCATTGTATAGGCCACATCGCATTCAAACGCCACTACGAATGTACAAATGGAAGTAGAATGCGTGCCGCATCCCAAAAGAGGATTGATCAACGGCAAATGCTTTATCCTTCTTTTATTTCTTAAGAGACCGCATTTCAAAAAGGAATAGAAACTAAGGACATATTTGAATGGATATTGTTTCTGTACAGCAACCCAACCCTCAACGGCTGTGAATCTGACCTATTGTCGTTTTGCCCAGTAAGAATGTTAAATGCAAGTTCTATTACTTGGAGTTGCATTTCGGCTTTATCGTCCTCGCAAGAGCCTTGTTTGCTGAAAGCTATTGGTTTTCCAAGTTCCATGGTCTCTACTGGTTTCTACAAGGCAAACCTGGTGATTTTGAACCATGCTTTTTTCACGCATCAATAGAAGTGTAGTAAAAGACTTTCTGGTGCCTGATAACTTACTCCTCATTAACGTAACCAATAGGTCGAATTAGGCGAGGTACACGTGCGTCAAATGTGCTCTGTGTTTCTTGTTTGCTTTTCAAATGTTCCAGAAGCTCTTCTCTCGTCAAACAGAAGACCATGTCACACAGGGCGAGAACAAAAACAACCTTGTTCATCGCTTCTGAAAAATGCTCTGTGAAGTTGAATGGTAAGCGTTGATCACTGTCGATGTGTGGGCTAAGCGAAACGGCAATACAAAGTCACTATGAAAATTCCGAATAGCTTGGTGTTTCTGACGTGAGATCAGAGACGAATGACGAGGATTGTTTTTGGGAATGGGGTTTTTTCAATTCTTATAGCAACAAAAAGCGCCGCAGAACCACATCGGGCTTAACCCTAAGCTAGGTTGCAGCTGGTGTATTTCTGACAACTCTGTACCTATGGTGAGCAGCAAGGATCAAAATTGTAACATGCAAATCACAACACACCTATCTATCACATCTTGACCATAAAAGAAATGTAGCGATCGTTAAGCAGTCCCTTTAACGCATGTCAGGCCAGTGAGTGCTGAGCTTGCTCGGATTTACTGAGGCACTCAAAGAAATTGGTAAACATGACTTCTCGTTTTAACCCATTGGTTTATTCACTGATTTTTTGCTCCCAAAGCGATCCGGCACCAGTGAACCTTAGAGGTAGAGCGGACGAGCTTAGAATACAAAATGCCGTAATTCAACGGCACTCGTAGTCGATGTCCTATCTCATTAACACAGTATCGGTGAACCACGATGGGGCATGGTCCTAGGAAGTCTCGTAAGGCATAATTCGAATATGAATGCGCCCGCAGAGAAGCTCCACGCAAAAACAGACCTACCGCTAAGTACGGATATGTTTTTCTGGGTCGGTGGTATTGGTGGTGACAATGAAGACGAATGGAATAAGGGGCAGCCGACCTGCTTAGTGACCCATTTTCTCGAACATATTTTTCATGTTCTTATGTTGGTCATCGCTTTGGACTTTCCAGCTCAGTTTTTTGACCAACGCGAGTCGCCTAAGTCTTTTAAGCTCACCCAGATCAAATTCTACACTATCGTAGTAGGACCCCTACCCCCTCTCCCCCTCATGACAAGAAACTTTGTTTCTCTTTTGCTGGGGATGCTTTGTGAAGAGGGTTCTTCATTCGACTCACCATTAGCAACAGAAGGTTGCTCGTTGTATGTATTACTTCTTGATAATATTCCAGAAAGTCCAGGATGCTGCAGTGGCTTAGCCTCATTGCAATAATCGAGAGAGTACTTTGGAAGAGGTTAGTTGTTCAGGTTTGGTAATTATGGGTTTATTTGTGACTAAGGCCGTCATTGCCAATTATCACAAGAATGCTGAGTTGTGGGCAAAACTTTTGTCCCATCCTCAGATTCGTACTCGCTAATGCTCTTCGCTTTCCGGGACAATGATCCGGGGTACGATGACAACTGATAGGAGGTGCAAATTTTGCTCACGAACATGCAAGCATCCTTGTGAAAGCATCGCCACGAACAATGTAGGACGTAAGCATTCATACTCCACATTTTTCTTTGATGATAAGGAGAGAGCTGCGGGCGAAGGCGTCCATTCATGCCTTTTTCGACCATTTTCTAAACCAACGGTGACGGGAATAGCCTGCATCTCTCCACTCTACATTTTTACTTCGCAGAAAGTATTGAAATAAATGGAAATTTCCGCAGAAAGATCCAAAAATTGTTTTTTTTTAACTTTCTTATATTCCTTTTTTTACTGGTAATGGCAGCGATTTTCAAGCACAATTTCTACGCGATCGACCTCGAGGTCTCGGCTTCTTTCATTACCGACTGAAATGACAGATCGAACGCGTTCCGGCTCCACCTTTCTTCCGAAATCCTACATGCTGGAGATACAAGGTAGTAACCACTTACCACTGCTTACACTGCTTGCGGTGGTCGTAGTGCAAGGCCACCAACCAACAAACCGACAGCTCCTAGTAATATCTAGTTACTGAAATAGTTATGAGCGGATAAGCTGGCGTGCTAAATGATAGGTTTATTAGTGACAACTGATAGAACTCATCTGCAACCGGCTAATCATTTTCATCGACAGAAAAAAATTATACTTTGTGAAGGCTATCGTCAGTTATGTTGTTCAATCTGCACTCGGCGAGAATCTGGTTTTCGGAAAAAGAGTATTCGTGCGTTCAGCACTCAATGTGGGGTTGAGATGAGTTACGACGCCACTTTTGAAGAGGGCTTTCCTGCTTATCATTTCGTGTTTTAAGTAAGCACAGCTTTATGCGATGGGTTGACCAGTGAACAAAGCGGAATCGCCGAAATTATTAAATTAGCTCTTCTTTTTGTAAAGTGGACGGTGCTCTGAAGAACAGTCACTGGGCGCTGAGGAGAGAGAAAAGACGAGAGAGCATAGCAGGAAGCACAACGTAGAGCATCCTCGCTGCGAAACTAGATGCTTGCTTAGAGAATATTCTCCTAGAGTCCAAGGCCATATATGTAGAGTACATTTTTTTATATGAATATGTGTAGTAATATGTACTCATTTCAGGCCGGGGAAAAACCTGCATCGGTTCCAGATGTGCACCTTCCCGGTCAGATGGCTGTATTCAGTGGACGGTAAGTGGCCGCAGACAGGCCCTCCATTTTCTGATATCGATCAGCGATGGATGGTAGGACACTTGTTTCGACGCACTCGAGAAGATTACCCTTCTCCATCATTTGGATAAGTGGTATCCGAGATGGAACTATGATTAGGCCCCGAAAACTGGGAAGTTTTGATAAAATGCGTTCCTGAAAAAATCAAAATTAAGGAAGAACCCTTATGGTCAAGATTTTCAAACTTGAAGGAACGTATGGAATGAAGTGGTGAGCGAAGCAGCAAAGTTTGCTTTACTTTCTTGATGCTACCTTGGCGTTCATTCGTTCACCGTTGAGAAAAGCGGAGGTGATTTGGTGGTATGCGGCTTTTGCCACAGTTTTCGAAGGGGAGAGGAGGAAGGGCCATGAAGTGGGTTGGAGTGGTTTCGATCCACGAACAGCTTGTGCAGTAAATGTCGCTTCCACACGCCTCAGCGCATCCAGAATCTTACGAAGGAGGCATTAAACAGCACGACAACCATTTTTTACAATCGCTTTTTTCATTGACCCCACGTGTGTTGTTCGTATTCATGTGTCCCTATTTCAGCGTCAGTCATTTATCAGTTGTCCTGCGTTCAGATCCGCTTTCAACCCGTTCACGCATGCGGTCGCCGCAACATTTAACGAGGATCTCTCGGACTCATTTGGCACAGGATTTGCCGTCAATGTAAGTAACCTAGAGAAATCCCGATGTTCAGATTGGCCCAGTAATTCTATTTTTAGGGTGTCAACAATCACAATCTACAAGTCCGTCGAAATTTCGATCAATACGCGAACGCACCGTTTGATCGCAATGATGGATCATATCAGCCGTTTCTGACTGCCGGAGCCGTTGGAGCAGAGTACGACCTCAGCAAAATACGCGAAGTTGCAGGTTAGGTGATAGCTTTGACGTGAACGGACTTTGTTTGGCAAATTATTTGAAGGACACCTCGGACATTCCGATACCTGGTGTGAACGAGCTGTTCGACTTTGACGGACGAATAATGCTCAAAGGTATGCGTCTTCTGAGGAAGTTCAGTCTATTCTACACTTATACATCGGAAAATCTTCTGGAACTTCCTTGGAAAGAACATGATTACCCTCTTGCTGGAGTGCTTTCGTTAGCAACCCAGGCGAAGCCCATGGAAAGTAGAGATAGCGCAAGCAGCCTACACTGATTGCCGTTCATCATCTCAACCTAAGCATCCTGAATCGCCTGTAAGGATCCATCACTGGTGCTCCTTTTCTTCACCTATGGTGTTGATATGATTTTTCGCTAATGGGAACCTAGACATACTCTAGAATGTGCTTAAAGGCACACTTGATTAAAGGAATCCTTCGCGGAAAATTCTTGCATTCTTTCTCAACATGAATGTGTCAGTTGTGATCACTGGAAACAGCACACAAAGTTTCACGCATGAAGATTCGGTTTCCGAAGAGAAACAAACTTACAAAAACTACACTCTATGGACAATCGAAGGTAAAGGGCGGCGGAGCCAAAGGCGGGGCATGGAAAAAGTCCGCCTTGGCCGGCTACGTATCAGGCGACGCAATGAAAGAATCGGGTTAAGCGTGCGATTTTGGAGAGTAGAGACAAAACGATCGATATAGTAGGCATTGCTAAGCTGTGAGACGGTAAGCAACAAGTCAAAATGTCAGGAACAAATGCATCTAGTGCCGGCCACCCGAAAGCAAGGAAGGCATTAAACCCGTCGTCGACTATGTGAGCGGTACCTTGAGAGTCGTCGCAGCCTTTCCGTGTTTCTTTGAATTTTTTTACCGGACAAAAACAATTTTTCTGCGATTATTCGAACTGGTCATCGCGAACTATTGTTCCCAAGCCACTGGTTATTGCGGTGAGACAGGAATCTCTTTCCAGAAGGTTCGTTCATCATAATATTCGTTTTAGGGTGGCGGCACCACGGGTATTCTGAACAGCGCTATGGATATTCCCGCTAACCTTATCCGATCCAAACGAACGTGCACCGTACACCTTCAAGTACTCTGAATTTCATGGCCGATCGACATATGCAGTACGGCCATGTTGTGCCAAATGTGAATCTATTCCTTGTTGGAAAGGACAAAATCATGAGTAGACTCGTGCAGAATCGCCTCAATCCCACCATGATTGGCTGAAACATCGATTAATAGGGCCTGCTCTTACTCGGAGTTAAGAGCCCGTCTGGCCGGCCCTGAAGAGCGGAGCTGCATCCAAAATTTCAGGAAGGGCATGTGATTCTGGTTTTTGTGTATCGAGAATATTTGTGTATTGCGGTAAGGGGCGTAGGGTCCAGTGTGAATTTCTCGGAAGGGTCGTGTTTAAGAACTGAGGGTCTGATGTGCGTTAATCGGTGTTGTGTGATTTTGTTTTTTTGAATATGTTATGACAGAAGTTTTCGACAGAAAAAGGTGTCGGAATGGAGAAAGTAGATTATAGACAATCTTACCATGGCTCCATCTTCCGATGGTCGCCTCCCCTTCACCGACTCACCCCTCGTCTCACCGCTCGATCAGCAGTCTTTGTGAACGTTTGAGTTGAATGTGCAACCTGCATTCGGGATCATATGGTTCATCATTAAAACAGTTATGGTAATTGAGGGGCAAGGACGTTTCGAATAAATTACGTCTCATAGGCTTAGTGGGTCGAGGTGTGCAAGGGTCGCCATCGACACCTCTTTAAAAGAGAGGGCGAGCGGAGGGGTCGGCACATAAATTGTTTAAAATAGCAAAACCTGAGTATGTGGTCGGCTACTGTCATTGACCCAGGCTCCTCCATTAACTAGTAGCATAGCGGCGTCGACCCGCATGATTTGACGAAGTTAACCTTTCGAAGCACAGCAAGATTGAACAAGATGCGTCTGCGCTGCACGTTTTTATTCTATTTTCGGTACACACTGACGTAGTGAGAGGACATAGGGTTCGGACCATTCTAGTGAATATATTTTTACTCTTCTCGCAATGTGTGACGAATTATATGTCTTACAGTCGCAGTGGTTCCTTTTTTTAATTACAGAACATTGCTGTACATAATAATAAATGCAGCTTTAATATATAGCTCTTCTATCCACTTGAAACTCACAAATGCTTCTTATCTTCACCGTGATAGTACGACGGAGTCGGTTGGAGAAGCAAAAGCGCTAAGAGCGGAGTGATTTAATGGCATGAGGTTTCATAGGTTGAAATCTCACTTGAACTTTCTTCTATGGTCCTGAAAAGTGTGAGAACACAGTAATCATAAGCCGCTGTATAGTCGAGAGAGCGCAGTCGAGAGAGCATCAAGCGGAAAGTTCAAGTAGTCCATTGCCTGTTTACAAACCACTAAGATGTTGATCAGTATGTCTGCCGGTCACATCGCAAAAGTTCCGTGACTCGGATAGGTAAAGTGGTCACAAGAAGACCGTCAGCAGGCCTAGAGACAGTTTTGTTTCATCCAAGCTAATGAGTTTATGCCTTATGAAGTTCACTTTAGAGCTCATCGTAATGAAGAGGTGCAAACTAAACAAAATATTATACGTAGACGCATGCAGCAAAAAGGAAATGATGACAGCTGTCGCGAGGAGGAAGCGGTCCGACAATCACTATCAATCTGAAAAGACGCGATGGAAAAGAGAGAGTTTGAGAAATGAGGTAGTGCGTAAAGATTGTGTGAGAACTAATGGATTCACAGGCTCAGCCTTTAAAGGGAGGTCGTTGCGGGTGTAGCCAAGTTTTCAAAAGGCTTTTTGCATAGTTGGCACATATGGGATACACAGAGGTATGGTTCATCCTCCGAACGGCTCTTGATCAGAACAAGGCAGGTCGTCGTTCGATTCTCGTAGGTGACAAGTTTTTGATTTCATGCTTGACATTTCCACATTCGCCACAAAATCTGGAGTTAGCCTGAAAATTTAAAAATTAAGGTTTTTATTTTTGTTTTTTTTTTACTGACATGCATAGGAACCCAGCAACACTTAAAATAGGCTTTGATTGAAAAATGATTCGTGAAAAGTTGTATTCAGAGGGCCGTTCAGGAAAAATTAACCATGGTTCTGTGGTTCCCGCATGTGCTCTATATCATGCGAAAGACCGTTTTGAAAAAGCTTGGCACACCCTGAAGGACCTTCCTTGTTAGCAGATACGGAGTACGATCCAGAATCCGACCCTCTGATCGTGTGCGCCGCACCGCCAGTGCACAAATGGAAAACGTATGAATACTCAAGTGGCCTTTTCTATGTAATATAAACAAGAACCTCTGTTGTTCCAATTCTCCCGAAAAACTGAAGTGGTGTTATTCAGATCATTTTTCTCGCACTGCCAATCGCGGAAGAGGATTATAGCAGCACAAATATTCTAACTTCACCAGATAGAGCTTTTCTCACTCGCAGTGGTGAACTGAACTCTTAAGGAGAATGAACCGGTCGGAACGCCGCCACATTGGAGTCATCTATAAACAATCCACCACGAAAGCAATAATGACACCAGGAAAACACAGCAAAAAAAGGACGAGTAACGGCGTGAAAAATTCACAGTTATTCGGGAATTACAGCAATTTTAAGGAATCAGGTAAAAAAAAAAATAAATGCAATAAATGAACAATCGACCAATCGTAATCGACTGCGTTCACCTAAGGAGGCTTTTTTTGTGATTGACTTGCTACAGGGAGGTAGCTCCTCTTTCCAAGCGCGATATGTCGGGTGCAGACCATGCATCACAAGTGACGACGGCCTCCACAAAATGTTGAATGTTTTCTGCCAATGAAATGATTAGCTTGCAGTTGCAGTTGTACGATGTCACTAATTACACCAGAAATCAGCTATCACTATGAACAACTTCTAACCAGATTTACTTGGAGGCCGTCGTCAGTTGTGGTGTTTGGTCTGCACCCGACACTTTCTCGCTTTTTGAAGGGAAGTTAGTACATGTGGTGTGGCCAGTTGATTTCAGTAGGGCCGATCGAACGAGTAGGGTACTGAACCCACGAGGATAACTTGCATTTCGTTAAGCACAAGAATCTTGGGGATGGATTTAAGAAAGCGAAAGATCAAGCATTTTCGATATGAATAACGTGGAAGAGATTTACGAGAAGTGTGGTGTCAGGTGATAGACGAACTTGGAGCGAAGAAATCGAATAAATGATCCCCAAATGGCTATTAGCCATTGTCTCCGCTAAGATAAATTGATGAACTGGATTAGTTGAACTTTCGTCGTCCGACACTTTCACTCGAGATCACTGATATCATCCGATTTGTTCGATCTTTCCTCTATCACCAGCAGTTGACATGATCATACTAATCACTGTGATTTCATCTCTGCTGGATCCGGTCCTTTCTAGAGGTAAGCATGAAAATCATTTTCTCAACATCAAAAATCGCTGTCCTTTCGATATGAAAAGAAGAAACTGTACTGCTCCTCTTATTGGACGCACACTTGCAGTTGAAATCCTACTATAGGATGGTAAGAAAGTCCTGAGCCGTTTGACACTTTTTTGTTTTACTTTTTTATTCCGCGTACAATGGAATTACTCAACAATATAATCACCATTGTTACTCACTACAGAGTCCCACCTAATGGGCAGGTCAGCGACCCCCTTCTCCCAGAACTGAGCAGACTGAGAGTCAAAGAAATCGCTGACCGCTCTTTCAACGTCTTCAACTTTGGTGAATTTTTTCTTCGCTAGGAATGCCTTAAGGGAGCGAAGTAAGTGATAATCAGAGAGGGCAATGTCAGGGGAATAGGGTGGGTGGGAACCGCGTCCCAGCCCAGCTCTTCCAATTTTGCAAGCAGAGTCAACCCTGCGTTGCGCAGTTCTCAACGGCCACGTTGCGCAGTTTCGCCCGATTAGACACGTTCTCTCGCGCGAACATTCACACTCGCATGCTCGAGCCGTCTGCGTCTCCGCCCATACAGCGTGCGTTGAGGATCTCTCAACGTGCCGTTGCGAACTGCGCAACGCAGGGTTGACTCGTATTGAACTTCGTATAAGCTATCGAGCGCCTAAGGCGTTATCTGTAAGTAGGTAACAAAACTCGTCTAGTAGTGTTTTCGAAACGAAGCTACTTACCTAAAGCTAATGCAGATTGCCCTACGGGAGCAGGCTCACAATACAAACATTCCCGTAATCCCAAAAGCACAAAGAATAGAGCGTATGGGTGAGGCCCCTTTTACTTTTTGGGAGTCTCTCCGAAGATCACGTGCGTTTTTGTGCTTGGTGGATTATACGTAGAGAATCACCACTCAATTTCCCATAATCTCCGAAACTACCTCTCTGTGTGGCGGCATAGAAGCAGAAGTACTGACAAATGAGTACTCTCGCGATACCGGCTGCTCATCTGCCAAAGACATGAGGGATCCATCGAGTCGGCACTTCCTGTGGCGAGGAAGTGGAGGGGACTGAGAACTGTGGGGTGGGTGCACCCGAAACTCATCACAAGGCTGCGGGTGCTAACCTCGGGATCCTCTTTGACAGCGCCGAGAATAGTGGGGCTCTCACGTTTGGTGACTGGTCCCCCATTTTACTCATTGTCCTTGAAACCGTTTCCCTTCCTCAAAGACTACAACTAAACTTTTAGCGCCGGATGGAAGTGTGTCTCTTCCGCTCACATGCCGCTCGCCTGATTTATTGTCGAAGTTTTTATACTGCCCTCTGTCTGCGTATCTCTTCCTCATTCATTTAAGAGATCCACTTGCGAAAAGTGTCATCTTTGTGAAATCGCCCACATGATTATGTTAAAGTAAGGCAACTTTCCGTCTATATTGTATTTCCGTACTGTAAAAGTATATCGACAGCCATTATATCTATCACTAGCAATGTCCTATTTGTTACCAGACTCAGCGAAACGTCTGGAGTCTTTCGGAAAAATCGTCTCAAGAACTCTTCTACCATCCCAAGTAGTGTTCTCATTGCCTTCAACAATACGGCCGACTATAGTTCAGCACCGTTTATAATAGATCGCCTTCTCGTTGTGGCTTACTTGCAGTGCTCCAGGTATTGACCGGGGGGGGACGCCACATCGTTCAAGGCCATCTTTCCAATCTCTATATTCCGTTAAAGGTAAAATTTATAATGTCTGGAATTGGTGGAAATGAAAAAATATTTCCCTTCGGTTTGGTAGCTCCACACCTTATGCTTTACTTTATAGGCCGGCGAGAAGCCA